TCTCTCTCTCTCTCTCTCTCTCTCTCTCTCTCTCTCTCTCACACACACACACACACACACACACACACACACACACACACACACACGTTCCCTACACACACTCTCTTCGAGTTGTGTATAGCGAACACAACAAAACATTACATACAACATAATCACTACCATACCCTTTTCGAACCACATCAACAAACGAACTACGGGCTGCGCACCCGTGCCCTCACAGTAAGTCAATCTAACGAGGCCCTAAGGCTACCAGAGCGGCCTGGGATCACTTGCCCAGGGACCCGCAAAACGACGCATCTCGCTTTCCGGGCCCCCGAACAAAAAACGAAAACCCCGCAAAACGACGCCCCTCGCTTGCCGGGCCCGCGAACAAAAAACAAAAACGCTGCAAAACGAAGCGTCTCGCTATTGAATGGCGCGCCCTTCGAGATATTCGCATGCATTGACGCCCCGCCGTCACACTTCACGGTTCATTTCCCTTTGTGCCGCTCTCTTGTTATTCGGCATGCTGTAAAATAAAAATAAAAAAATATATATATTTTTTATTTATTACATTTTATTATTATTTATTTAATATTTATTTATTTATTTATTTATTATTTGGTGAAGAATTTCGATCACCCTGAGGCAGAATTGTTTAGGTCTTTTTTTCTCCCAAGCAAGAGTGAAAAAAAATAAAAAATAAAAATGGAATGTGTACTGCGTCTACTACTGAGTCGTACTGACAGACGAGCACTGGCGTCATCCTTCAGGTGTTCCAGCCTCCAAGAGGGGAAGTGTGGGAGCCGGAGCGCCGTCAAGGAAAACTTGTCACGGATAAGACCATGCAACGCATCTTGAAAGGATTTGCGTCCTCGAATTACGGCTGGTGGGAAGTGTCCGATTCGGACTGCCCGGAACCGAACGGTGCACTCGTTGAAGAAGTGTACGGAGGCGAGAGGGGAGTAATAGCGCAGTTGAAGGAGCTTGAGAAGTGGTGAGAAGAAGTCCTGCAATTCCAAACCCCTCACCCTTATCACCCCATTAATTAATTGCCATAATAATTGGAGTGTGTGTGCCTTCATCTTTGCGACGTTTTTCTATTCGATGTTGTATCAATTGTGTTGCGCAACCTGCACTCGGGTTTTGTCATACTTTGTCTTTTCTCTCCTGTTTGTCGTCTGTACGGTTCTTATCATTGCCGTGTGTTTCGCACTACGATTGTGTGCTAATGCACTATGTATGTTTCTACATGCATTGTCGTGTCTGTTCCGCACTATGATTGTGTGCTGATGCACTATGTATGTTTCCACATGCATGGTCGTTTGTGTCTCATACTACGATTGTGCTCATGCACTATGTATGTTTCGACATGCCCCTTGTATGCCGTCGAGATGGGTAGTCTTCGAGCCAACGGTTGTGTATTTTTGGTGAATTGAACAGCTCAGTGCATTATTTTTATGTGGAGCTTTTGGGTTGTCTGATGGGGGACTATATGGGTTGGATTAAACCACTGCCTAAAGCCCAATAGGCCCCCATAAAAAGTAGTTTCTTTCTCAAATTAGCAAAGTTTTTCAGCCAAGCGTCTTGTAATGGGTTGATTAAACCCGCTTCGATACACTCTTTGGACCGTCCATTTGAAAAAAAATTGAAACAATGCACAGAAAAAAAAGAGTAGCAAGGCCCCTGCACAAGGATAGCACGCATAAGTCAAGAAATGGTTCAATTTTATAAATAATTTAAAATAAATAAATAATTTAAACAAATTAACAGGTCCACAATTGCGGACCAGGTTCGGACTCCTGCATTTATCACTTCGAACTTTATGTGCGCAAGCAGCGCAACGCATTTAATTTTTTTAATTTGCAATTTTATTTCAAGTGGCAAGAGCAAGATCCACGCAATACGCGTTGTACACACACAACTTAATAGCAAAAAAAAATTCTCAAAGTCGGCGGCTATGTCTGCCAGCAACACCAACCAACAGGTAAGTGTCTCTCTTTCTCTCTCTCTCTCTCTCTCTCTCTCTCTCTCTCTCTCTCTCTCTCTCTCTCTCTCTCTCTCTCTCTCTCTCTCTCTCTCACACCCCCCCCCCCCCCCCCCCCCCCACTACTGCTACTACCGCTGTGCTCATCCACACAAAGGTTGTGCAATTTCTCTCTTGGAGTGTCCTCACCCTCTCCTCTCTCTCAGTTGTCCTGCTCTCCTGGCTATGGTGCCCTGGACCATTGACTTCTTGCTCGCCAGGTAATATTCGTACGTCCAGGATCTCGGCGCTGACTAATGCTGCAGCGCTTCCGCATGAGCTGGATCCAAGAAAGACGTCGCCCCCGACTGTCAAAGTGCCTTTTGTCCTGTGTGGGGTGCCTCCCACAAATTGACAGCAAGTAACATTAACTCAATTGACATTATCATAATAAGGATATTCTTTCTATTTAAAAAGATTCCCCAAATACCTAAAAGCAAAAGAATCATTGAAAATGTTAAATATTTGAATTATATTTCACTAAAATCCATAATCCGGTATCTGTATTCAGGGGGCTTCTGCTGGCCCTGATGACGCAGTCAACAAAGGTTCAGATGGTCATGGGACTTCCCTGGAACTGAGATGGGACCTGGGACTGAACTGGGACCTGGGACTGAGATGGGACCTGGGACTGAGATGGGACCTGGGACTGAGATGGGACATGCGGTGATGGGACATGTGACGATGGGACATGGGGCTCCCTACTGAGGGACTGCTGGACCCCTATTTTGTCCCTTGCAGTCGTTGAAGAGGGACTCCCTACAGTATCTACCAGGAAGATCGAAGTGCGCCCCAATGATACAGAAGAAAAAGGGGCGCGGTACTGCGGTACTGGGGGTGGGCTCCTGAGGCATTTGAATCCATTCATAAATAATGAATTAACAAAACAAAGAAAAAAAAGACGCTTCCGTTAATACTGTCAATGGACTCAGGAGTCAAGACTCGATACACTATTTTAGTGCAGTGAGGGGATATTAGGGGGGATTAAACCACTTCCTAAAACCCGATAGCCTCCACATAAAGATAGTTGATTGAAGTTTTAAAGCCAAACAAGGATTGTGTAGTACGTGGGGGACAATGGATTTCCTAAAGAATCTACTACCCCTTCGATGGACTATTCTTTGTGGGCTATTGGAGAATGGGGAGAGGGAGAGAAGGTTAACGGAGACCCTAATTTTCAGACCACTTGCCATGCCATTTATAAGAAAACCAAAGGGTCGTTTTAATCAAACTTGCCACCAATTCATAGAGTGGAGACCATACTAACTAACTGCAAAAAAAAATCCAAAGGAACGAGTCGTAGAAAGTGGACATGCCTGAGGTGGTGGAAGAGGAGGACGAGGAGGAGGAGGAGGAGGAGGAGATGAGAGAAGACGAGACATGGGCAGAAGGGGAGGAAGGAGAGGAGGAGGAAGCAGAGGAGGAGGAGGAGGGGAAGGTAGAGGACAAACAGGCCTGGAATGAGAAGGGAGGGTAAGATGGGGAGACACTGGAGGACGAGGAGCACTGGGACAAGGACGAAGCGTGAGCAGTGTCGTAGAACTGGTGGTTACAGGAAAAGGGAGAAAAGGGAAGAGGAGGAGGGAGGAGGCAGTGTAGGACAAGAAGGAAGGGGAAATAGTGTAGCCGAAGTGGTAGTTATAAGAGGGGGAGAAAAATGCATGCACTGGCAGAACGTTTCTCACTTCCAATCTGCGTTGAGTGTGGGATGATATGCAGGACTTTTTCTATTCACTGCTAAAGCGGCGGTGATGGAAAAGCAAACAGGTAAGACTACCTACTGGTAGTACTCAAGAGAAACCCACGGAGTTTCAGGGTGTGTGTGTGTGTGGGAGAGAGAGAGAGAGAGAGAGAGAGAGAGAGAGAGAGAGAGAGAGAGAGAGAGAGAGAGAGAGAGAGAGAGAGAGAGAGAGAGAGAGAGAGAGAGAGAGAGAGAATGAGAGAGAGAGAGAGGGAGGGAGGTTATGAAAGTTTGAGCCTTTTGAGACTAAAAAGTGAGAGGAAGGAAAAAGAACAGCAGAGCAAAGACGAGGGGGAAGCGAGAGATGGAGGGATTGTCAATGACTCGTTCTATCAGGCAGTGGAAATTCCACTATGGGAACGAGCAAACATGGAAAATTCACACCTCACCTCACAATGGCTCACATCAATTCAGTCAAATGTTTTTCAAAGGAAACTCCCAGAAATATGTAGCACTAAGCACTCTCATTTAAAAATTAAAATAATTTTATTGAAATCAGATGTGGCGGCAGGATAAGCTACCGCATGTGTGCGTATGAATTTTTTTATTTTTTTTCACAACAGAGTTGAACACACCCTCCTGTGCTGTTAGCGCTGGTAAGAGCAGACACTACTACTGTCTCTTCACCCGAATAGAACGCCCGGTCATTATAGCCGTATCTGGCACACTTTCGAGTCCAGATACAGCTATAATGACCGGGCGTTCTATTCAATTGAAGACGGTAGCACCGGGGGGGAGGCTCCATCTATTTGTGGGGAGCATCACCTGCTGGAAATCGGGTTGAGCATCGCATATACAAGATAACCCAGACCAGTGTCCAAAAAGTAAAAAAAATAAAACAAAATTAAAAATTAAAAATTAAACATTAAAAATTAAAAAAATTAAAAATACCTCGTGCCAGCATTGGTATCTCAACTGCTGCCCAGCTAATCTCACGGTGTCTCCTTTTGTCCGCTTTTGTCCCATTTTATCCCCCCCTTTTGGCCCCCCATTTTCTCCCATTTTATCCCCCCATGTTGTCCCATTTTGTCCCCGTTTCGTGCAGGTTTCAGACACAGACCCATTTTCACTTCTATTCGAGCTCTGTGCTGATCATATATGATGGGATACCCGAGCCTGCGGATGCAGGGGTGACAGGGGACCACCCACCAGATGGGAGAAGACGGAAACGGAAAGTCTCGGTTCATCTCATCGACTTTGCCCATGTTGTGAATGGAGGGGGATCTGTTGACGTCAATTTCCTCCACGGCTTGCAGTCTTTGATATGCCAGCTCACAGCAGTGCTTGAAAGTTATCGGCAATTGTCGTGTCCAGCATGAGGGGACTTTTGTGCGGAATATGGTCGTGATTGAGGTTCAGGCACATCAAGGAAGGTTGTACTTTGGGTATGTTGCATTCTAATTCACAGCAGTGCTGGAAGGGGGGAACTTCTTCAAAGCCATTCGGTCATAATTGCAGTCGGATACGTCCGCAAAAGTCCTAGTGTGAATACGCCATGCGATGACATCGTGGCGTCTGCCTGGCGTCACTGCCATCACTGGCATGACTGACTTGTCTGATTTTCACATTAGGGAGTTTTCTAGAGGAATCTGGCTGTATTTGAGCTCAGATGCATCCTTGAAAGTCCTACAGTGAGTATGCCCTGACATTATGCCAGCCATGGTCTGCCCTTTGCCACTCCTCACTTCGTGCAGGTGAAGAAAAGAAAAACGGCTCAGCTGCCGCTGTTATGTAGGTGTCCCCGTCGCCTGCATAATATGCAAACTCTTCTTGTGAGCGGCTCTGCGTTGATCTGTTGCTTTGAAGCCCTTTTATTTTTCTCTCCCCCCTCCCTCTCCCCCCCCCCCCCCCCCCCCACCCATTTTACTCTTTGAAGTTCTTTCAATATTTTCAGCATGGAAAATAAGTTCAAATAACAGCTATCAAAGCTGGAATTCAAAATTCAAATGCTTTTTTTCTTTGCTCCCAACATTTGAGTGGATCATCTCCATCCCAGTGATGCCTTTGTTATCCTTAGGAGATGGTAGAGAGAGAGAGAGCACAGGAGATAGAATCAAGCGCGCAGAGAGAGAGAGAGAGAGAGAGAGAGAGAGAGAGAGAGAGAGAGAGAGAGAGAGANGAGAGAGAGAGAGAGAGAGAGAGAGAGAGAGAGAGAGAGAGAGAGAGAGAGAGCTCAGGAGATAGAATCAAGGGCAAGGTACTCTTGTCTTGCATGCAAGGAATTGTCATAGAGACATGGAAAAAAGAGCACATGGCGGCGTCTGAACAACGCCTTTCTGCCTTCCGCCAGGTGAAGGCGTCGTCAGGGGGCAGTTCCAACGCTGCGTTTTCAGGTGGCTTCATCCACATCAATTCCACCAGAAATTAGCAACTGTCCAAAGTGCCTTCTCTCTCTCTCTCTCTCTCTCTCTCTCTCTCTCTCTCTCTCTCTCTCTCTCTCTCTCTCTCTCTCTCTCTCTCTCTCTCATCTTTGTGTTACCCACAGATGTTGTTGATCTTTCACCACACGGTGTGTTGTGCGCAAACAGGGCAAACAAAAAAGGTCCACCTATTAAAATTTAATCTAATATCTAAGCATAAAGGGAAATCCCAGAGCAGCAAACAGGTACCCAAGCTTCAGAGTATAGAAGCAGTGAGGCTACATCTTACACCACACACGTAACTGTTAGTAAACAGATCATCGGTTCAAACTCTGATGCAGTTAAAACTTAAAATGAATACAGAGAACATCAGACCGCAGACAACCGTCATAGAACAATCCAACGACACGATCCCGCCGCTGTATATCTCACATCTCACATGCAAGCCATACACAGAAAGCTGGGTTACCAGCCAGGCCGCACGGGGTGCCTCAGATTCGACCGGTTGGGCTGGCCGGGCCAGGTTCGGGCAAAGTCCTGGTCAAAGTCCCAGGCAGCCCCCCGCGCCAAACAAACAAACAAACAACCTGACGTCAATACACTGTCGCCCTCTCTGCAACAGCTTGTGGGACTTTTGTGACTGTGATTGTGGGTCATGTTCGTTGCCTTTCGTTTGACTTGTTGATGCAAGAGCTTTGCTATTGCGTGGACCGCCGGTGGTGTATCGAGCAGGTCGCCATCTTATATGCGAGCGATGCTTTCGTTTAACTGGTTTATGCAAGTGCTTTACTATTTCGTTGGCTTTCGTTTGACGGGTAGAACTTGGATTGCGCGGTTCCAAAGATGGGAATGCTGTCCCCCCCACCCGCTCCACTCACTGTTTGAAAGGAAGTGGGCGCAGCTTTCCCAGGCGGAAAAAAAAAAAAAAAAAAAAAAAAAAAAAAAAAAAAAAAAAAAAAAAAAAGCGGGCACCACTTCATGGCATATTGTTTTGTGTTCGAGGGGATGGTGCGTTGTCTGGTTAAAATGTAAAGCAAATGGTAAAACAAAGACGAGACTGACAAGGGCGCCTTCGGCACCGGCGAATATGTCCATCTCGCTGCGAACTACTGCAACAGAGAAAGAAAGTGGACGCCGCTTTCCCTGGCAAAAAAAGAAAAAAAGAAAAGTAGGCACATTGTTTTGCGTTGGAGGGGATGGTACGTTCTCTGGTTTGAAAGGGAGTGGGCGTATTGTTCTCGGGCAGCGTGGTTGGGTAGCATTCGAGTTTTCTTTTGAAATATATTTTCGTCATTCTTTGATGGAGATAACTCAGATAAGTTTTATCTACGTTGTAACGTTGATGATTTGTCGATCGAGTCTATTTTGGTGTTCTTTTGGTTTCAAATTGTGGTGGTAATGCCAGACATCGCAAAGGGTCCTATGGAGGTAGGAGGGCTCTCCTACTTTTGTCACAGCTTTCCTTGTTAGGCTATTTCGTGTTTGCTGTCCCGGAATCTTTTTCGGAATTTGTTTCTGGATTCGGACTCTGCTGGAGGTGGGTTGTTGTTTTTGTCTGTGGTACCCTGCTGTGTCTTGTGTGCGGTTTCACGTAGCTTGGGATTATTATTAATATTTTTTTTTTTTACTTGGGGTTGTCGGAGATTGTTTTGTTTTGGACTCACTACAGGGGCGTGGGTCAGCGTTTTTAGGGCGTTAGGACTGCTGGCCCCTGCTGTAACCTTTTTTTTTTTTTTTTTTTTTTTTTAAGCACGGGCAATCAGACATTGCATCTTTACTACCCAGGGGCATCACTCAATCTAGTATCTGCGCGAGGGCAAGCGGGTGTGGGGGAAACGGGTCCGGAAAGTCCGTTGGTGGGCGTAGGGGGAAAGGTGGCACTATCTTTGTCCAGTCGTTGAAAAACAAACGACATCCCCGAGATTCCACCCTCTCTTGTTGCATCCCTCCCCTCCTACTCCTACTCTGGCGAACCCCCCTGAATCCCCCCAACCA